CCACATCTCGGGGAGATTCTGCCGCCACAGCAGGATTTGAAGGCAAGGCGCTGGCTGAAGCAGGTTGGCGACAAGTGCACTGATGAGGTCAGCAGGGTGACAGATGCCAGGGGTGGGGATGGCAGTTGTGTTGGCCACAGCCTGTGCGGAAGGGTCTGTGGGGGAAGGAGGAACCAGCCCTTGCCCAGGACGGGAAGGAAACTGATTCAGTGTCCATTTCCTGACCCGCGGAGCTCAGCCAGTTCATCAGGTCACAGTGTGTGACACGCCTGTGTTTCTCCAGGACGTTAAGGAGAGACTGTGTCTCTTCCCCCCCCCCCTTCCTGTTGACAGATGATCCTCTAAAAAGGCTTTGAGCACCTGTTGTGCGAGACATCGAACACTGATGTCTGGCCTGGAGGGGGGGACAAAGAGCAGGTGGTACAGCATTTAAAATCCCATGCTTTGAGGCAGATGGCCCTCAGGTCAGATCCCAGCCGGCTTCCGAGGGACCCTCTCTCTCCCACCGTCCCCTGGGTGCTCTCTCTGGTGGGGACAGAAGCGTCCTCCTCCCCAGCCGAGACTTGCTGTGGCACATGGGAAGGGGCGGCTTTGGCACAGACAGGCATGGGCGTAGACTTGGTCTAGACCCTCATGGCTGGGTGGATTCGGGCACCTTAGCTGGAGTATTGATACGTGAGTGCTACACTGGTGGCGAGGGACAAAAACCCGTCCTGAACCAGCTGAAGCTAAAGAAGGACACGTATTGTGTCTTGTCAACCAGCTGCAGAAGGGACTGGAGTTTCAAAGGAGCGATGTGTGCCCTTTCTCTCTCTCTGACTTTTCATCTCCGCTTGCCTCTGCCTTCGCTGCACCTCCCCAAACAGACAGGCTTTGGTGCCAGGGACTGTGGCTTCGTAGCTCTGGGCTTACGGGCTGCCGACGTCACAACCCAGGGGAAACAGATTGCTGTCTCCTGTCTTTGATCTGTGAGAATCCAAAGTGTGGGCCGCGTGCCCTTTCCCGGAGCAATCGATCAGTCACTGGCTGGTGGGAGGGACAATGTAATTGGCGGGTAAGGTCTATTAATAGAAAAACAGGGAGAGGGGGCGCTTTGAAGATGCAAACAGTATCGTTACACTCCAGAGTGGACACGTGCCTGTACCTGCGCGTATACGCTCTCCCTGGTGTGACTGACTATAAAAATTTCATCTAGCACGATCCACCGCCCCACATACAGCCAAACGCCCCTGCCCTCACCCTTAGGTGAGACCACCCTTAGCCACAGCACATCTAGCTTCAAGCCCGGCCTATCTGGGGCTCTAGCATTTCTCTGAGTCAGCCCTCAGTGTGGCTTTTAGTGATCTTGGGCCAAAAGGAAGTGGACCCTCCCCACGTGTGAAAGGGCTGGAGAAGAGACCTGGGCTTAAATTTCAAGCGAGACCCTTACGGGGTGTCAGCACCTGGGCAGATTCCATAGCTTCTAATTCTACTGAGCAAAGAGGAGGAACAGAAGTAACGTCAATGGCGAGCAGTCAGAACATACCCCATGTGCCAAAACTCCAGACTCGCTTCTAAGGCAGGCAGGTGTGACGGTCATTGGAATTAGTTTCCTCATCTAGAAAATGAGTTCACAAGTGTGCGACAATATTAATTTTAAAAGATAGTGCTAAGCGAAGTAAGCTAGTCAGAGAAAGACACCATATGATTTCACTCATACGTGGCATTTGAGAAACGAAAGGTCAAAGGGAAAAAAAAGGAGAGAGAAGCGAACCAAGAAACTGATCTTTTTTTTTATTTTTTTTTTTCAACGTTTATTTATTTTGGACAGAGAGACAGAGCATGAACGGGGGGAGGGCAGGGAGAGGAGGGGAGACACAGAATCGGAAACAGGCTCCAGGCGAGCCACTTCAGCCAGAGCGACACAGGGCTCGGAACTCACGGACCCGAGATGTGACCTGGCTGGTCGGAGGCAGCTTAACGACTGTCACCCAGGCCCAAGAAAGCGATCTTAACTACAGAGAGAATAAAGATGATACTTAGAGGGAGGTGGTTGAGGGATGGCTAAATAGATTGGGACGAGAGGACACTTGTCCGATGAGCAGTGAGTAATGTACAGATTGTTGAATCAGGGGCACCTGGGTGGCTCAGTCCGTCATATAGCGTCCAACTCTAATCTCGGCTAGGTCTTGATCTTAGGGTTGTGGGTTCAGGTGTGTGGGCTCCTGGGCATAAACCTACTTTTAAAAAGAAGGTGGGGAACGCCAACCAGGGTGGCTCAGTCGGTTAAGTGTGTGACTTAATTTCCACTCAGGTGCATGCCCTCACGCGGTTTTGGTCCAAGCCATCTGTGGGGTCTTTATGGAGCTGAGAGCCTGCTTGGGATTCTTCACTCTCTCCCCCTCTGCTCTCCCACTGCAGCGTGCTCTCTCTTTCTCAAAACAAATAAGTAAACTTAAAAAAAATTCTTTAAAAAAAAATTGTTGAATCACTGTATTGTACACCCAAAACTCCTATAACAATGTAGGTTAACTGAATTGGAATTAAATTTTTAAACGTTAGCTTGGGTGGTCAGTTGTTAAGCGTCCGACTTTGGCTCAGGTCATGACCTCGTCTGTGAGTTTGAGCCCCATCGGCCGGGCTCTGTGTGACACTCAGAGCCTGAGCCTGCTTCAGATTCTGTGTCTCTCCTCCTCTCTCTGACCCTCCCCTGTTCATGCTCTGTCTCTCTGTCTCAAAAATAAATAAAACATTAAAAACATTTAAAAATTAAAAATGAGGAATGGCCCCTAGTAAGAATATAGTAGGTGCTCAATACATGCTCCACCCACACACACACACCGTCTTTTGATCTGACAATAAAGACCTCATGCTCCCAAAAAACCTTTTTCCTCCTCCTCCTCTCCCTCCCTCGCCCTCCCTTCCTCCTTCCTTCTCTCTTTTATCTTTTCTCTCCCTCCCCCAATCTCTTCCCTGCCCCCACCCCTTCTACATACATGGGACACTCTGCCCTTTAGTGAATTATTGACCTAAAGTTAGTGTGACACGCTCACGAGAGGGGCTGCCTCCCAGCTCAGGTGTGAACAGCACCCACGCCCCAGTCCAGGGGCTGGGATTCCCATCTGTGACGGCAGGGACATACATTCTTGAACAAGCGCAGGGACAAGACGTGGGCTTCTCCAGAGCTGTCGCCATCTGACGTCCCCGCTCCAGGGAGGCGAGCTTTCTCTTAAAGAGGGACTGTTCTTCAGTCAACCCTATCACCTCTGTCTTAGAGAAGAAATTCAGAGTGATCAGGACGAGGCCCATCTCCAGCGGGGCTGACAAATTCTGCACTTAGCAGGGCCGTGCTGGGGGGCACGACCGCCCGGGAGCGAGCCCGCCCCACCCCCCGCCAGACCCTGCTGTTCACCATGAGCGAGGGGGTCACAAGCCCGTGGGTGAAATAGACAGCAGGCCAGCCAGGGAAAGTGACCAAGTGGCACGCGGTATTTCCCGCAGTCATTTCCCCGCGAGGGCTGTTTGATCCCAAGGGCTGGCTGGATCTTCCAGTTACTTCCAAATGGAATAGTGGAGAGAGCGCTGGCTTAGGGCCCCCTAGACCTGGACTTAAATCTTTGTTCTGCCACCAGTGAGCCACAGGCTTCGGGCCAGACACGTGACTTTTCTGGGCCTCTGTTCAGTCGTCCGAGAGCATGAACGTGGCAGTGCTCCCCACTGTTCATGTGAGTCCTCGCAAGGATCTTTGGATTTCAGAAGATGGGAGCAGTGGTTCAGAACATCGGTTCTGCAGCCCGATCGCCCAGGTCCACCCTGGCTCCGCGTGGGCACCACCAGCTGTGCTTCCGTGGGCAAGTGACTTCACCTCCCTGGGCCTCAGTTTCCTCTTCTGTACAGAGTGGGAATAGCAGTACTTCCCTTGGAGGAGGATCACTGTAAGGATTCAGTGAGACAGTAAGTAGAAACCACTCAGCAAAGCACATGTCTAGGTCATAATAATTATAAGAACATATGGGGAAAGACTTGTATAAACTGTGAAGTGTGGTCTTCATGTGAGAAGTACTGTTTACCATGAAGTACAGAAACCCAGTTACTACTTTAAGAAAACGTTGTGTATAGTTTCTATTTGTTTAAATTTTTTGTTAATGTTTATTCATTTTTGAGAGACAGAGAGCGAGCAGGGGAGGGGCGGAGAGAGAAGGAGACACAGAATCCGAAACAGGCTCCGGGCTCTGAGCTGTCAGCACAGAGCCCGATGCAGGGCTCAGACCCACGCATTGTGAGGCCGTGACCTGAGCCGAAGTCGGACGCTTTACCGACCGAGCCACCCAGGCGCCCCTGTTGTGTATGGTTTCTTACTGGTGGTTTTACATCATGTAAAGTCTTTCTTTGGATGAAAGCACTCACGTTGGCCCGCGTGTTGGCAAACTACGAAGTACGGCACGACACAGCGAGTGGCCGGTTTCTCGTTCCACTCATCGTACCTTTGTGCCTGTCGTGTGTCACACGCTGTGGTAGAAACATTTACGCAGATCCTTCCATTTTGGCCTCACTGGGTTAGTGTTCTCTGACCTGGTGCCTTTGAGATATCCCAGTCCATGTGTCCAGGGAAAAACAGACATTTTAAGGCAGCTTGTAGAAATGACAGCATGCTCTCAGCCATGTCAAGCTCTTCAGAGCTGTCTTACTATGGGTCTCATCTGCGTGGCGCTTAGGGAATGACCTTGGCTTGGCTTCCCGCGTGCTTTGTTGTCACCAGTAGAGCCCAGGGGCTTGGTCTTAACCCTGGCTACCCAGAAGAGTCCCTTCCTCCTCTGCTGGCCTGCGCTGCCCTTACGAATCAGGGTCAGCCAGCACACGTGACTTTTAGTCTCTTGTTTCTGCTTTTCTGCTCAGAGGGAGCGGCTGGTACCAAAAGGTCAAGAAAGTCACATAACCGGAGGGACGCTGGTTGCCCCTGGTTTGCGAAACCCTTTCTGCTTTGTCCCCAGCCAGACCTGACTTTTCTCCTCTCCCCAAAGCCAAGTACATCGGCTGTTACCTGGATGACACCCAGAGCCGGGCCCTGCGAGGCGTGTCCTTTTTCGACTACAAAAAGATGACCATCTTCCGTTGCCAGGACAACTGTGCAGAACGGTAGGGCTCCGACGTCCCAGGCTCCATTCATTTCAGACCCCTTCCTTCCGTGGTGTTCTTTCCTTTCCCGTGGAAGGGCACAGTGGAGGATGAGCCCGTGGCCCCATGGAAAGTGATACGAGGGTGTGTGTATGTGCACGTGCACGTGTGAGTGTATATGCGCATGCACGCGTGCAGATGAGCAGGACTGTTCGGGAGGTGGTTTGTGGGAGTTTGTGATCGTGGAGTCGTGGGACGCTGTGGCCTGGGTGGGAGTTGTATGTACAACGTGCAGAGTCAGCGGGTCATGTTTGTAAGCTTGGTGCACACACGGAATGGTCTTTAAACACTAGCGGCTGTGTGTGCAGGAGGCTTTGTGAATGTGTGTGCGAGGGTCCGGACTTGAGCTTGTGTGTGGGAAAAGCCCACAGGTGTGAATCTGAGTGGGAGGCTTGTAAGATGCCCATGGGAAGCGTGAGGTGGGAGCCTGGGGGTCAGGGGTGCGTAATCCCTTGTTCTTCCCCCAGGGAGAAACACAGCGTTTCCCAATTGAAGAAGAAAATGATGTTCTCGAGGAGAACACGCACTGGGGGAGGGAGCTGACTTTCCAAGGGTGGACGAGGCCCCAAAAGACTGGCAGGTGGCGATGGGACCCTCAGTCCAAGCCCGGGCCCCAGCATTGCCACCTTGGACCTGGAATAGCTTTTTTTTAAAAAAAATTTTTTTTTAACATTTATTTATTTTTGAGGCAGAGAGAGAGCATGAACAGGGGAGGGTCAGAGAGAGGGGGAGACACAGAATCCGAAGCAGGCTCCCGGCTCTGAGCTGTCAGCACAGAACCCGACGCGGGGCTCGAACCCATGGACCGCGAGATCATGACCTGAGCTGAAGTCAGACGCTTAACCGACTGAGCCACCCAGGCGCCCCGGACCCGGAATAGCTTTGAAGAGGCTGCTGCCATGCTCACTTTCAGACTCTAGCCGGCTGGCCCTGAGGTCACCAACTCTGGAGGACCTCAGCTACATGGCTGTCGTGGAAATGAGCAAGTGGGTGGCCGAGGGACTCCTCCCTGTGTCCTTCATGAGGAAACACTGTCCCCTTTATAATCATCTGCCTGAGCCCAGGGCTGTCTCCAGCTTGGGAAGGTCTCTGAGCCCTTGATGGTATCGGTTCATTGATTTATTCGTCAGACCGTGGGGAGACCCAGGTGAATTCCACAGCGTCCATGGCCCCATGGAGTCACAGCCTTGATGGGGAGACAGACATGTGAACAGAGAAGGGCAGTAGGGCGGGGTGAGGGTTCAGATGGAATGAATCGCAGACGAGAAATGCAGAAGAGGGCCCCCAGCCCGCCTGGGGTGTCAGGAAAGAGTCCCAGGAGGTGACAGCCAAGCATCAAAGGACGAGTCAGATGAACTCACTTAATCCCCTTCAGTTCAGCAAATGTTTATCGCTGCCCACGTGTGTGTGAGGTGCTGGAGGTGGAGAGATGAGTCCGCCATAGCCCTGCCCTTGGTGGGGGGCTCCCCAGCTAGTTGGGAAGACCGAGGCATGAGCAGGCTTGGGCAGTAGAAAACCAACAGCTTACACGTGGTGGGCATTTCCCTGTGCCAGGCACTGTTCTCGGCACGTGGCAGATATTAACTCTCATCCACCACGAGACCCCGAGAGGCAAGAATGTTGTGATCCACATCGCACGGATCGAGGACACCAGGGTACGGAGACCTCAAGCGTGATGGGTGCTGGGCTGAGGGTGCCGCTGAGGGGAATGGAGGGCTCAGGAAGAGTTACAGAGGTGAGATCTTAAGCCAGGTTTTGAAGGATGAATAGGAGTTTTCTAGGTAGTCCTAGGAGGACAGAAATAACAGCACACTCAAAGATCAGAACTCCTGAAACATCCTAAATAGCCAGCATCCTTGCATAGGCAGTGGGGAGGGGGTGCACAGAAGGTCCAAGGGGAGTAGTCTAGAGGGGAAGCGGCAAGGCTGGCTGAAGCCTGCTGACATGGAGCCTTGAATGCCACCCGAAGCATCTGGCTTGGCCACAGGCAAGGGGGGAACCGCTGGGAGGCGTTCATCAGGAGAGTGGTGTCCATTCATTCGGCAAATACTTACTTAACATTTACCTGATGCCAGGCATTGAGAATGAGGCAGTAGGTAGCAGGGCGGGGGAGGGGAGGGGCAGGGAGGGTGGATCTAGGGCAGGGTCCTCAGCCCGGAGTGAACACGAACATCACCCAGAGTCTTGCAAAACCAGATTGCCCGTTCTCACTTTCTGATTCAGCGGGCTTGGGGTACAGCCCAAGAATTTGCATTTTTCATGAGTTCCAAGACTGTCCAGGCTCTGAGGGTCCTGGGACCATGGTTAGAGCATCGCTGCGCCGATTTTCACACTCAGCTGCACGTTAGGGTCACAGTGCCAATTAAATTAGACTGTCTCGAAATGGGAGCCAGGTGTGGCATTTAAAAAATGCTCCCTGGGTGATCCTAATGGCCGTCCATGTTAAAGAACCCCAGATAGGAGGGTCGGTAGGCTGAGCCAAGCCATCTGGAAGCTTATGCTCGCCTGTGGTGGAGGCCCGGGGGGGGGGGGGGGGGGCTGGTTTAGAGAGTGGAGAGGTATGATCTGTTTTAATTCTGGAAAGATCCTCCCGGCAAGGGCAACAGGAGGTTTATCGGATCAGTGCCTGGTCGAGCTCCCAGGACACCCCAGTGGCCTGGAAGGATGGCAAGGCTCACTCCATTTCCCTTCCAAATTAGTTATCGTTGCTGGGCAACCAATGATCCCAAATGTAGTGTCTTAAACCAAACAAACGTTATCATCCCACCAATTTTTGGGTGTCAAAATATACAAGCCCAGGAGTAGGGATGCCAGATGATTCTGCCTCAATGTCCCCATGGGCTTGCTCTAGGGACTGCGGACCTCTGCGACCTCTGAGGAGGAGCTTGGGCGGGGCTGGAGAAATCCTTCCCGAGACAGGCATGCACCTGGCTGCAGCTGGGGCCTGAGTCTCGGGTCCTCACCACACACGGAGCAAGTTCGCATGGGCCCCTTGGTGCGTCCCTGGCGTAGGCAGTGTCTCCTGTCCAAGGGAGGAGGGCAGGAAGCTCCACCGGCTCTGGAGTTATAACACCCACTGGAAGTGGTTTTTTTTCCGTTCCCTTGGGAAATTGTTCCTTCTGTTAGTGGTCCAGTTCATGAGAGGGTCCGGGCCTGAGCAAAGGCTTCAGGAAGCGGGAAGACTAAGAGCGGTGGGAAGCAGCTGGCCGAGCCCCAGGCTCGGTGGGGTTCAGGCACCGCAGACACCCCCGATTACGCCTTCTCCCTGTACCCGGCCAGGCGGTGTGGGCAAGGGCAGGTGCCACCCAGTCGGCCTGAGGGCATGTGGGGGGCATGACAGTCGGGAGCGTGTGTCGGTGTCTCCCAGCTGCCCTCAGGTGTCCAGAGTCCGACCTGAGCCGACCGTCTCCCGCTCAAGCCACCTTATGTGGCCAGCATTCTGCAGGCTGCTGCGGGAGCCTTCCGGTTCGCCCTCCGAGGGCTAGAGGGGCTGATGAGGGCCTTGTCTAATCCTCTCCCTTGCCTTCACCAAGCAGCAGGCATTTATGGCTGCTCATCTGTTTACAGAACGGTGTCTAGGTCCTTTTGTAGGAAACGAATCCCAAGGCCAAGGGGAAAATAAATCAAAACCATTCCTGCCTGAGTTTTGTTTTAAGTTTATTAGAAAATATTTTCCTTGGCTGGATAATGACCTTGGTTTTGCCATCTTCCAAGAGAGGGTCGACGAGCCCCTGCCTCCTCCTCCTTCCAGCTTTTCTCAAGGACATGGGCATCGTTGAGAGATTTTTGCCTGCAATAAAGGGTGACCTGAACCGCACGGCTCTAGGCAGGGAGGAGCAAGAGTGGGTTGGGACAGACCCTGGGCTGTGAGACCCGGGGCTTGAGGTGTGTGCGTATGCCACGGGACGTCTGCGTGAGTGTCAGTCCCCGTGGAAGTGTTTATGGGTGTCGTAGGACACAGTGTGCATATGGGAATTGTCCCTGGAGAGTCCTTGCTCCCCAACCCTCCAGTTGCACAGGTCTCCACTTGCTGGGGTGAGCCTCCGTGTCCCCGGGTCTGCATGGTGGTAGCTGCCCTGGGACTAACTGCAGCCTTCCCAGGGGTTTACATGAGTGCGGGCGTAGCTGGAAGTTCGGCATGCGAGTGTATCATCTGGCCACAAGATCCAGGCAGGCGAACAAGCGTGGCGAGACGGTCATTTAGTGCTTATGGATGCAAGGCGAAAGAAGCGCACAGCGCACCGCCTTCCGTCTTCCGGCTGCAGCTGGCCCCAGGATCTCTGGCAAGAGGTGTCCAGTGAGTTGGCCCGTCCCTCCCGCAAGGCCGCAGCCGCTCCCTGCCTCGTGCTGGCGCTGCATCCCCAGCACCCCTTGCAGCCTCCAGCCTCCGCCCCACCTTCCACCCGCTGCCCTTGCGACAGCTTTGATCCGTACGTGGATGTTTCCACCGATTGAGCTGTCCCCCTCCTCCCTCCCAGGCCGAGCCTCCTGCTCTGCTTCCCTGTCTTCCCCTGTCTTCCTCCCTGACAGGTGAGCTGGAGCCTGAGCTGAGTTTGCCTGCCTTCCTGATTTTCTGAAAGCGTTTGTCTCTAATGATGATGCAGACAGAGATAATGACAAAAGACTATCTTGGTCCTTTTCTCAGTGCCTTATGTGAGTAGCACATCCTCCGGGACCCTGGAAACAGGCTATTATTCTCTAATTCCCAGTTTACAGTAAAGGAAACTGAGGGTCAGTGTCATGTAAGCAGCAGAACAGTTAAACCAGTTGAGGGCCCCGCGTCTTTCATGCTCTATGCTTGATAACTGGGTCTCTCCTGGACGTGTCTCCACCTGCTTTCCACCACGGAGGAGGAGGAGTGAGCATGACCCTCTTCAACTGCAAGCGTGTCCCGTCCCCCTTTCTGGAGACAGGTAATGTCTGATATGCTCGGCAGGAGTCTGCCTGTGCCAGGCACTGTCCCAAGCCCACGGGCCCATTTCATTTCTCTTCCCTACAGCCTCCGTAAGTGGTTATCAGTGTTAATCATTCCCACATTTTGCACTGAGGAAACTGAGGCTTATCGAGTTTAAGAAAACAGCTGCCCAAGGCCACACAGTGTATTTTAAGGGATCTGCAAAACCTATGAAGATTGCTGATGACCTTGACAGGAGATGGAGGGCTGGGTTTCTCCCGATACCCTTCTGAGAGTCCCTGAGGCAGGGACAGGAACCCACAGTGCACGTCGGCCCTGGGCCAGCTTTCAATATTGAATGTGCCCGAACCCTATGTGGAGATGTTGTTACAGAGCACGTGCAGTTCGCGGCCCGGTCAGGTGAGAGTTTGCATTCTGAGAGCTCCCAGGTGACGCTAGGCTTTTTGGGCTAGGGGCCACACTTTTGAATAATAAGGCCTCAGACCTCAGCAGAGGTGACGCTGCCTGCCCAGACACAGGACTAGGTGGTTGGCGACGTGAGAGACAGCTTTTCCCATGGGAATGCCATTGTTGATAAAATTAGGTGGTGGGTCTGTGGCCATGTGTTCGTTCCCTAAATCCTAAATCAGTAACCATCGGGCTTTGCCCATGCTAAACAGGGTCGCTGCGTGTTGCCAGTTTGCACAGGTGTGGGTTGCTGCCATCGGAAAGCTGTCACTGCTCCATGGGGCCTCAGTTCACCTGGGGCTGAGTGGCCGCATGCTGGCGTGTGGTGTAAACCCAGGAACGAGAATAACTAGCCAGAAGTCCGTTTGGCCAGCTAAACGAGAGTTGTTTTTTTTTTGTTTTTTATTTTTTTAATTTTTTAACATTTAATTTATTTTTTTTTTGGAGACAGAGAGAACAGAGCATGAACAGGGAGGGGAGAGGCAGAGGGAGACACAGAATCTGAAACAGGCTCCAGGCTCCGAAGCTGTCGCAACAGAGCGAACCCATTGCACGGGCTCGAACTCAAGGACCGTGAGATCATGACCTGAGCAATGTCGGATGCTCAGAACCACCAAGCCACCCAGGCTTCCACGAGTTTTAATTTTGATGGTGAAACTACCATCCTCACACTGATCCCCAATGCCAGTATTTATTTAGTTATTTTTATGGTGACCTGACTATGTGAAGAGATGGCCCTCAAAATCATGGGGCATTTCACTGAGAAGGCTGCTGCCGCTACAATCCTAGTGGATGACGATGGGCTGGATAACAAGAATAAGGCCCCGTAGATGATGGTTGATATCAGCCAGACCTGCTACTTTGGGATAATGTTCAGATTGACTGATTAACCTGGGCGTATCCCCTCTCTGTCTGTCTCCTTCTTCATGTCGGAGTCCGACACACACTTTACTTTGTGATCACCTGATGTGAAGCACACTGTCGTACAGGCCATCGAAGATGTTGGTCCGTTGAAATATACAAGCCGCGGCACAACAAAGACAGTAGATTCTGTACAAGGGTGTGTCTTGCCTTGTACCGCAGTGGGGGGCTGTGTGGGGTGCTGCAGAGTAACCCTGTGAGGCTGGCGGAGGTGTTTCCTGCACCCTCCGCTTGCCACCACCGCAGCAGAAAAGTTAGCCAGGATGGTGTTTTGTTCCATCTGAGAGAAAGAGTCTTATATTTATGTCCAAAGAGAGCGTATGTCTGCTGAGGGTGAGTCTGAAGCCTGCCAAGTCCACATGAATTGTCCCAATCATCACTGTACAAGATTGGAAGCTTGGGCACCTTCGCTGGAGATTCAGAAAGTGGCCTTATTAACCTCAAGGCTGCTATGGCTGAGATAGAATGAAGTTGGATAAGGAGATGGATGGTTGACGATATTTATCCGGTGGGCGCCAGTTGATACCATGGTGTCTGGAGAGAACATGGAGACCATTCATTGAACCAAAACATGATGAGCATCCATGGGATTAGGCATGGAGAGGATGAGTGGAGGCGATAAAGCACAGTCTCCATGGTTGTTTGAGGAGCTCATGGTCTAGTGGGAGAAAACAGAATCCGGCACCAATGGGGTCTGTTCAAGCATGGGGGGTGTATATGGGGAATGGCAGGGGTTCTGTCTTCAGGAGCGAGCCGAGGAGCGACATTTGGTGGGATCCCATTTTAAGGAGACTTCTGGATGAGCCATATATTCCAGCCATGGAACAAAAGTCCAGGGTCAGCAAAGGTCATGTGTTGAGTGCCCTATTGGGGAGCACCTTCTTATATGCTGATGTCCCGTTTACAGCTTTAGAAACTGAAACTCTGCACAGAAGAAGGCTGTTTTATTAGGGCCTTGAAAGATGCATGGGATTTTTTCCTGGTGTGGAAGAGGAGGATATGACTGAACTGAGGTTGCCAAGGGTGGGAGGAAGTCTAGGCAAAGGAATGGGGTGATGCAAAAGCCTAAGGCAGCTTTTAGGAAATGATGGGGAAGGCATGATTTTCAAGGCCACAGTGCTTCTTAGGGACTGAGTTTGGGCTGGAACCCAGTTCCTGACTGCTGATTTGAGTGCTCACTACCACAGTGCCGTGAGACACCTTGACCTCTTGTAGGATTCTGGACCTCATCTCCTCTCTTTGGGAGAACTCCTTGGATCTAGCTCAACACCTCCTCCTTTTTTTTTCCTGACCTCTGTCTCTTTTTTTT